CGGGTGGGCCGCAGGTAGGGCGGCGGGTAGGCCGCAGGTAGGGCGGCGGGTGGGCCGGGACAGAGTGGCGGGGCCGCTCGAAGGAGTGGCGCGGCCGCGAAGAAGTGGCGGGGCCGCGCGAAGTGGCGGGGCCGCGACGAAGTGGCGGGGCCGCGACTGGGTGGCGGGGCCGTGACGGAGTGGCGGGGCCGCTCGAAGGGGGGGGGGGGGGGGGGTTGGCGGGGCCGCGACAGAGTGGCGGGGCCGCGACGAAGGGGCGGGGCCGCTCGAAGTGGTGGCGGGGCCGCTACGGAGTGGCGGGGCCGCGCGTAGGGGTAGCGGGGCCGCGACTGGGTGGCGGGGCCGCGACGGGACGGCGGGGCCGCTAGCAAGGGCGGCGGGTGGGCCGCTAAGGTAGGGCGGCGGCTGGGCCGCACAGTAGGGCGGCGGGGCCGCGAAGGAAAAGGGCGACTCGGAGGGTCGCTAAAAAAAAGGTGCGCGCCTCGGGCGCGCTTCGGTGGGCCCTAAAGAACAGTCCCTAGAATGGGACCTGCTCTGATTCCATGTGAAAGAAAGAACGAGAATGAGTGCACTACGAAATGAAGTGAGTACAAATATGAAACCCTAATTGGGTTGTACCCCCTATGGGATACCCCACTATAGCCTACAGAAAAGAGTAAGCTATAATGTTCTGATAGCGACTCCCGGCGCGCTTCACCACGCGCCCGGTGTAGTTCGGCGTTTTCTGCCCTCAGGCGCTCCAACTCGTCAGACATAGTCTGCATGTTGGTCTGCATCGCCCGAAACTGTTGCATGAGCTCGTTGAACTCTGCCTGGTCCATATGTCGCAGGCTTCGTCTAACGGGCAGGGGGTGACTAGCGATTTTTCTGACTTTGGTGAAGGCGTTAATGCTATCGTAGTCGGAGTGGAATAATCGGATCTATTCCACGGGCCGACCGCTTAACAGCCCACCAAGTCTATCGCTCCCCTTCTACAAACTACCCCGGAAACGCGAGGGTAACCTAGGAAAGTAGCTCTGATACCAGGTGTTATGAGTTGTATGAAAGAAGAGTGCGCAGAATTCAATATCGCGGAGGTGATTACAACTACTGAGAGCACAACGAGGCCTAGGACTAATATAGCGAGGCTAGCTGGGCCGAGGTTGTAGGGTCGCAGGATGGCTGGGTGCAGGTCCGTGGTTGTGAAACCCTAAAGCGACGCGATAGTGGTTCGGAAGGCGAGGTCGTCGGACCGAGCCTGGTTTTCCGAAAAGTCAGGTTTGTACGCGTACAGTGTGACCCAGTAAGGAATCCGAAAAATTCCTTACAAGCGTAGCATGTGCACCTTTCTTAGGTTTGTGTTACAGCAGTTGGTTCGTATTGGTTGGTTCTCGTGAAGGCTCGATTCCACGGCTAACTTTCCCGCGTTACAACGAGGTCGCTTCAGGAAACTGTTCTCAACCACACAGAATCATGCGGCAGGCAGCATTCGATTCCTTCCTTGGCCGGCTTTCTCTCGAACCAGGGTGCTCAAGACGAAAAGCTGTCCTTGATTGTTGATCCTTCTCCAGTAAGAAATCGAAACGGGATTCGTCTTACTATCCAATTCGCCGAGCACCCCCTTTTGGCTGCACTTTTTGTAAAGGCGTCATATTCTATTCGTGGACGAAAAAAAGTGTTTCCACGTGGCAGCGGCATGTTGGTGTAACTAAAATATCTTCCATGTTTACATGCTTTGTTCTGCCACCAATTTCACCGTCCGAAGCGCGGACAACGCTATGATTACTTCTGTGAAGTGTTTTGTCGCAGGCGAATCAAGCGATGTAAACTATACAGATCTCTTCTCTTCTTTCTGGGTTTCATTTCAGTTGTAGAGTCATTGTTGGCACTGTCATTTTGCATATGTGCTATATTATCCAGCCAGGGTCATGTACATTCCGAATAACTTGATGTTAGAGTTGAACATACATTGATGAGCAAATATAATTGAAAGTCGTTCACTATATTTGAAACACAATACATTTCTCGCCACCATACAGTATCTCTGTATCGCAAAAAACGTGCAGTTTCGCGAAAGCCAGCCTCCACCACACCTTTCCTATCCCTGCCAAAATCGTACCTGCCTCTCTAGGTCATTAACCCGGTCTCTAGGTACCCCATAACATTTTGATAGTTCTCCAAAAGTGCCATTGTATAGCCCTAGCATACTCCTGATGGTTCAATCAGCCTTGTGGTTGGTTTCCAATTGCTGTATGCCTCCACAATAATTGCGACTTTGAACGGAACCAGTGCAGCTTGCCTGTTAGCGGGCAGATCATGGGAACTGGTGGAGGGTTGATGTTTAAAGTCGGATAGGGCCGGTGGGTGGAGCATATCGATGGAATATTGAGGGGTGAGAGGGGGAATACGTAAGGGAATTGGTCGGTGAGAGTACTGTACCGTGGGGCAGATGGAGAGGGGTTACTGTATGGGGTTGGTGTGATTTGGGATGGGATGGGATGCGTGCGGGCAACCGAAATGCTTTCTTCCTGCTCGATGCTACGTTTGGGCAGCCCCACTGTGGCTCCAACCTTTTGTTTTGGTGTCCTTTTCGTGAGACCGGTTCGGATGTACACTACTCTGTGGATCACAAATAGCGCAATCAATTCCACCCCCACAATTCCTTGCGGAGGTGCTTTTCCGATGCACTTTTTCGCACGCGAATCGTGAGCTACGGTGCTCAGCAAGGCAAAAGCAATCCAGCGTGGCAAAAAAGCGTCGCCTTGAAAAATATATAGCTTTTTATCTTGGCAGACGCTCGGCCACGTCGATATCTTCTGCCGAAATCACGGTCACTGCCTTGCACTTTTTGGTGCACTTTTTCGCGGGCATATCAGAACGGAACCCCGCATTCGTCGAGGCGAAGCGCGCTCCTGCATTGGTCTCTCAGCGGATCAAATGCTGTTTCCACCACACCCTCCCTATCCTCCCCCCGTGTCTTCCCTCTCTCAGCTCAATCCTTTTCTCTTCCCTCCACACGAATCCTTCTCTCAATGCTTGGCGGTCGCTCAAGGCAGACATCAGTTCTGCCAAGCAGGATGAGGTACCTTTTCTGTGGATGTCCCTCCGACCCACCTAACCCCTTTCAGGATTCTGTGCCTCGACCAATCCATAGCCCGTTTGAAGTCCCTCGAATTTTTCTATGCACCACAACCACTTTCTTTCCCAGCGAAGGCGGATCTTGACATATTTTTTTCACCAACGCATGGACAGGATTGAGTATGGTCCCGAATCGAGCCTTTGGTAGCACACCTGGCGCCTCGTTCTGAAATAGGCCGCAGTAATCAGCCTCGTTCGTCAATGGGTACAACACTGGCAGTGCTAGGAGCGTTTCTCACGACGTATGTCGATTTGACTTCCAAGTCCTCTTACTACTAGTTCGCCATTGCGGCGGAATTGGTAGTCTGTTATTAATACTACGACGATCTCTATTCTTTTCCTTGAAGTCCCGAAATCATGTTAATTGTGAGCTCAGCGCATCGTATGTCGACGGAGCGAAACAGTTTAGTCCGGGCACGTGCCTTCAAAGACTATTCAGATTTAGAATATTCAGAGACTATTTCATGTTCGGGAAACTAAACCTTTCGTGAAAGCTTCGTATCAAGAACGTTATTCTTCCAAAGTTCAAGAGTTACCTCAAGAATTCTTTTCAATTAGAGCGAAGGATGACTAACAGCACGTGCGATACAAGCAGCAGCAGCAGCAGCCGACACAGCACACACCGCCGTGACACTTCTAACCGTCGAGATCAAGACCAACTTCACGAGCGCCGGCCGCAGCGCCGGAACTCTGAGTCGCCGGCGGAGTCTCCGCGAGGAGGCCTCGGAGGCCGGTCCACACTGAACGTGAACGTGTTTAGTCTTTCCACCTCCGAAGGTCCCCATGACCACCGACGGGACTATCCCTCCAAGGGAGTGGACGGCGATTCGGGACCACCCGCGCAGCAGCAGACGATTCGGAGGCGGAGAGAGGGCGGGCCGCCGTTTCCGGGGGAAGGTTCGGAGAAGCTCGTCCTCGTGCAGGTTGACTCGGCTGAGCCGGAGCGCGCGCGGCTGCGACGGGATTTCCGGGTCCGTTATGGTGGTCTTAGCGCGGCGGTTGACGCCGCGGAAGGGGGTGAAGGAGATGATGGTGATTGCGACTCGGGTTTCGTTAGTCGGAGAGAGGAGGGAGGGGCGGGTGAGAAAGAGGATGAGAGGGAGGAGGATGAGGAGGCGTCGAAAGAGGCGGAGAAGGCGAATGAGGCGGAAGCGGAGGCGAGCAGGGAGGGAGAGGAGGGGCGTGTTTTTAAAGACACCCCCGGGGTGTCTGTGAAGCGACAAGATTATCACCAACATAATTATCAGCGGCAGGGAGCTGTTCTGGCTGTTCGGAGGCTGGCTCCGAGTCGGATCCAGCCAGCTGAGCTGCATGTTACCAACGTGGCGGCCACCGCAACAACTACTATCGTCATCCAAGCTGGCGCTACTACTGCTAGTACCACCAATGCCATCAGTGCTCCCAAGAACGCCTCCACCGCTGGTGTTTACGGCGGCGGCGAAGGGGCCAGCAGTGGCTGCGAAGGCGATTGTGGTGGCGGCAGCGGCGGCGGCGGCGGCAGCGGCGGCAGCGGTGGCGGCGGCGGCATCGCGGGAAACGTCGCCCCCGCTGCTTCTCCTCGTCGTTGCCCCACTCCTTGTCATCATGCTCTCCCCCATCCCCCGACCCCAGTTACCCTGGAAGAAGGTACCACCGCCACCACCCCTGCTATTGCGACCACTGCCACCACCTCTGCTGCTCCTACCAAAGCCGCCACCACCACTGCTGCTATCACCGTCGCCGCCACTACCGTTGCCACAGGCAATGCCTCGGAAGCTGCTGTATCGCACGGTGAGACAAGTGGCAGCGAGAGCAGTGATGGCAGCGACGGCAGTGAGAGCAGTGGGGGGCGGCAGTGCAAGCGAAGCCGGGAGACAAGTGGTGGCGACGACTCGTCGCAAAGAATGTGCTCTCCGAGATGTGGGCAGGGGGCTGCTGCTGGGCGTTGCGGACGACAGGGGCAGGAGGAAGACGGGCAGAAGGGATGGCAGGGGGAGAAGGAGGCGCAGGGGGAAAAAGGGGAGCCAGGGAGGGTGGTGGAGGAGCAAGAGGGGGGTGATGAGGAGGGCGAACGTGGGGTTAGCTTACCAAGCTCGCGCGGAGGAGTTGGTGACGTTGTCCGGTGCTCAGCTTCTGGTGCTGGGATGGCCGTTGTAATCGCCACATCGGAACACACGGCAGCAGCACTAGCTGGAGAAGGAGACGCGGCAGCAGCAGCAGCAGCAGCAGCAGCAGCAGCAGCAGCCGCCGGCGAGAGAAACACCGAAGTCGACGAAAGTGGACGGGGGCTTTTAAGTCCCGCTCCACCTCCCCCAGTGCCACCACCGCCACCTACGCGCAAGCCGCGGATCAAAGGCGCGCAGGGGGGCCCGGACAACAGCAGGCACTCGTTCCGGGGCGTGCGGCAGCGGCAGTGGGGCAAGTGGGTGGCAGAGATTAAAGAGCCGCGGCACCGCAAGCGCGTGTGGCTAGGATCGTTTGACACGGCGGAGGAGGCAGCTCGTGCCTATGACCATGCTGCCCGCGTGTTCCATGGACCTCGGGCCAAGTGTAACTTGGATGTGACAGGTGGTGGGGATGCTGGGGAGGGGGAGGCGAGGGGAGGGGCAGGAGGAGGAGGAGGGGTAGTGGAGGGGGGTGGAGAAGAGGCGGGTCGGGCGGGGAAGGGTGGGCGGGGGAGTGGACGAAAGGGAAGAGGGAGAGGGAGGGGGAGAGGGAGGGGGAGGGGGAGGGGGAGAGCGATCAGTGTGAGCGAGGAGAGTGATAGTGGGAGTGGGAGTGCGAGTGGGAGTGCTAGTCCGAGCTCTAGTGCGGATTGCTGTGTGAGTGGCAGTGGCAGCAGAATCTCTGCTGCTGCTTCGTTTCCCCGGTATAGGGGAGCTGGGATAAGTGGTGATAACACCACTCTGGCTGACCGAACAGGTCGAATAGAGCAGAAAGATAGAGCAGGCCAAACATGTGTAGCGACGCCAGCTCCGGAGGTGACTGTTGGCTTGGCACAGGGTTTAGCTGCTGCTTCCGATCAAGGCACAATGACAAGGCAAGGAATGGACTTGCCCGCACCACCACTGCTCGCAACAGCTGCCTTGGAACCAGCAGGCTTGGTAACAGCAGAATCGATGGCACCAGCAGCCTCAGAAGCAGTTGTGGAGACGGGAGTCATAACAGCAACAGCGGCAGCAGCAGCGGTTGTGGGAGGTGGTCCCACCTCATCAAGCTCTGCCCTCGGGGGGCATGAGCTGCAGCTCACATGTCAACCCACACTGCCACCTGTAGTGAGGCCCGCATTGACACCAATGCTGATACCCACTCTAAGCCCAGCAAGCAGCGGCAGCATTCCGCAGTGGCACGCCCCCCGTGCTGCCCAGCAGATGCTCCCAAAATTCACATCACCTATCATCAGAGGCCCAGCTGCCCGGCCAGGCTCGTACTCCCGGCCCTTCTTCACCCCGCCTGCCCCGCGGTTCCTTTCCATGCCGCTGGGTGCCAGAGAGGGCAAGTCGTGGGACGACAGCTGCAGCGGTGGCGGAAGGGAGTCGGGGGCTGGGTTGCCGGGAGGGGATGGTTTGATGTCTGGTTGGAGCATGGGAGGGGCGAGCATGGGTAGTTGGAGCTCTGCTTGTGGCGGGGTGGACTCCTGTTGTGAAAGGGCAGCAGCACGGGCGGCAGAGACGAGTGCAAACGGCGGCGGTGACGGTGGCGGTGGCGGTGGCGGTGGCGGTGGCAGCAGCGGCATGTCATGGTGTGGAAGTGGTGTGAGATGTGTAGGGCAGCAGCACGTGCAGTGTCAAGGTGTCTTCCCGCACGCTCGCTGCCAAGGCCTCTTCCCGCACAGCATGAGGCCTCGCCTCCTCACCATCCCCTCCTTCACGCTGCGAGCAGTCATGCGACCACCACCACCACCGTTACCGCCACCCCAACCTCAAGCACCCACAGCAGCACCTGGCTTACTCCCAGTAAGAGCAGCAATGGAGCAGCAGCATATCAGAGCCCCCATTGCTGCAGCTTTCAAGACCACCCCTCAACAACCAAGCCAGTACACGAGTTATGCAACCTCAGCTTCTTCTTCTCTCTCTCTCACTGCCCCCTCCACTTCCCAACCCTCACATCCCACCCCTCACTCCGTACACTCGAGACCACACCAAACCGTCCCCCCTATGCCTCCTCCCCATCCCAAACTCCTCTCTCTCACTTCCTCCGAGCCTCTCCTGGCATGCCACCTGTCGACGGCCCATTCAACGTTTCGTCGGAGTGCCATCAACCAACCTCGCTCCCCGTTCCCCCTCTGCACGCGGCTACAGATGCCGGTAACATTTTGGGGTGCTCCCACTGCTGCTCCTGCTGCTGTTGCACCTGCTGCTGTTTCCCCCCTGGCTATTGCCTCGCAAATCCTTCCACCCGACTCCTCTGCTGCTCCTCCTCCACTTCCTCCTTCTCCTCATCCTCATCCTCCTGCTCCTGCTCCTGCTCCTGCTCCTGCTCCTGCTCCTGCTCCTGCTCCTGCTCCTGCTCCTGCTCCTGCTCCTGCTCCTGCTCCTGCTCCTGCTCCTGCACCTGCCAGCAGCGCTGCCACAGATCTCATCCCCATTTTCCCCTTCCAAAGCATATCCCTCGACGCGCACGCGCACGGAGAATCCTCCCTAGTGGAGAGCCACTTCGGACTAACCACCCCCATGGACACATACCCAGCACGGCTGCTACTGGGGGAGGCAGAGCCCGAGGCAGAGCCCGAGGCAGAGTCGCAGCAGGTGTTTGCACGAGAGGGGCCGGAGATTTCCTGGGGGGATGTGCTGGAGGCAGACTCGTGGGACGACATCTGAGTGCTATGTGGTGATGAGAGGGTATGTGGAGATGAGAGGGTATGTGGTGATGAGAGGGTATGTGGAGATGAGAGGGTATGTGGTGATGAGAGGGTATGTGGAGATGAGAGGGTATGTGGAGATGAGAGGGTATGTGGAGATGAGAGGGTTTGGAACGGTTCTTAGGAGTCTCATGGCTCTTGGGAGGACGTGGTGGAGGTGGACTCGTGGGACGACATCTGAGTGCTCAAGGCGAATGTTTCAGGCGAAATCTGCTTGCTGTGCGAGCCTGAAATGCCTGAAATCGTTACTAGGTGTCGCAATGCCAGGGCAACGGCCAAGGCACAGGCCAAGGCACAGGCCAAGGCAGAGGTTAGGGCAACCCTCAATCAAGGCTGAAGTCTCTTTACCCAGATGCGCTGTGCTGGGTATGCGTTCAGTGTGAGCACTCGAGACAGGTCTATCCCTTGTGATTCAGGGTTCAGCATAGGTAATGCCTGCTGCAGGGCGACCGAGCAGCTCATGCCAGCGCCAAGTGCAAGTGCAAGTGCAAGTGCAAGCATAAGCACGCACGAGTTTGATTTGGATTTATACTACTGCTCCAACCACCTGTATATTTCCGGGGTCCAGCAGGCAAGCAGGCAGCAGGGCACACTGTTGCATGAAGGACATGCAACCCCTGCCACGAGTCTCGTGGTTCTACTAATCGTCAAAACATCATATGTTTATATCTTTCTAGGCTATGTTGGGGTTATCCTTAGAGGGTTTACAACTTGCTCGACACTCTTGTGCCTCACCCCTTTGACCTAGTCGACATTCCTTCCTTAGCTTCTCCACACTAATCACGGTGTAGAGTAGAGAACTGTACGTATTTGAGGATTAGGTACCGACATTTGTTTGCATAGCTTTTGATACTTATCAAATGGACCCCATCGCACAACCACCATCTGCAGTTGAAAGTACAATGTAACAAGTTGTTATTTGTCAGCAGCATGTATTTGTTTTGCAGGCACCTCGAAACATGTTAAACTGCACACTGTAAGGGGCATTCCCTGAGTAGCTAGGCAGGGAAGAAGCAAGCCAGTACCAAGCAAGTCCTCTTATAGCCATTCGGAACATGTAAGCCCGAACAACTGAGGCCCCCTCATAAGTCACCAGCAGCCCTTCACTGCACTGGGTTACTCTTAGATCGACTCAACAGCAAGGTGCCCTGCCCTGCCCTGCCCTGCTCCCTTATAGAGTCAGTCTTTTCAAGTATGAAGCGCCCTAAACTGTGACTCTGTGACATGCAAGCCAGTCAGAGAAGCGTCTTGCAACACCGTGCCACATGCGACTGAGGAGCGCGGGCATGAGCGCGGGCATGCCACGTTCTACTCTACTGTGCGCCTCCTCCTGAGGAAGGCGGGCGTGCAAGAAGGCTCTTTTTACGAGTGAGCTTGTGAATCGTCTCCACTAGCAGCCTGATGGGGCAGGAGGGACGGGAGGATGTGGGAGGAGGGATGGAAGGAGGGATGGAAGGAGATACGGGAGGGGGAATGGGAGCAGTGGAAGGTCAGTATGTGAATGTTTGCCTGGTGGAACAGAAAGACTGGTGAGTGTGAAGGGATGCGATGCAGACAAACGCCGCTCTCTCATGCCATGCCATGCCATGGCCATGCCGTCACATGCCATGGCATGGCATGCCCCGTCCTGCCATGCAAGCAAAGCAACCATGTATTGTATTTCCATTGGCTTGGTAAGGTACCCATCCATGCCCATGCTATATCACGCCATCACCATGCCATGCCCTGCCCTGTCCCATCGTGCAAGCAAGGCAGCCCTGTGTAACGTACCGGATGTTTATTGGCTTGGTGAGGTACCCATCCATGCCCATGCTATACCATACCATCACCATGCCATCACACCATGCCATGCCATGCCATGCCACGGCCTGTCCCGCCATGCAAGCAAGGCAACCCTGTGTAACGTACCGTATGTTTATTGGCTTGGTGAGGTACCCATCCATGCCGCACTGCCTGCACTTGGCCTCGTCACTGCTCACCACCAAGGGGAGTGGAAAAGAGCAGGGGGGAAGAGGCAGAGGGAGGGAAAGCGGAAATGAAGTGGGGGTTGGGGAGAAGGAAGCAGAGGGGGCACATACTCGTTTGAGAATTCTGAAAACGGCATGGAAGGCGATTGGTGGGTTGAGGGTGAGTGATGATGCAAGAGTCAGGAGCATAAAAGCATTGATAGGCAACGGAGAGCAGTGGTGTGAGCGGAAGAGAGAGAGACATGCCCCTAAGATATGCACGCCTCCCACATGTGCGTTTTCTAATAGCCTTAGAGAAAGCATCTCGCCCTGCATGTCTCTCACATGCACACCTCCCACGAGCATGGCTTCAAGCCGGAAAACAAGAAGAAAAAGAAGACGACGAAGAAAAGGTATTTCACCTCCTGCCCCTCACCTGGCTAGCGCGTGCGCAGTGAGAGCACAAATGATAGTGTGGCGCCCGTTCCTGGCCTCTGCCGCCCTGATTGTGCGGGTGGCAGTGTAACCGTCCATCACAGGCATCTGCGGCGCCACAAAGGCAACAACGGCAGTGATGGCAGAGGAAGGAAGAGAGGGTCAAGGAAGAGAGGAGTGGTTGAGACTATCAATACTACAGCTGAAGAAAAGAAGAGAAATGAGCCCTGAACTCACTCCCTGCAGGGATACTGTAAGGGTGTTGTGTCAAACAAGGCAGGAGTGGAATGATAATTGATGTACGGGGTTCAGGAGAGGGAAACGCGAGGAAAACGGACCCTCTTCTCTCCTCTCCTCTCCTCTGCCCTCGCCTCGCCTCGCCTTGTGCAGGTGGCATACCCAGGTATTTTGAAAGAGGTATGAGCACAGGCGATCGTGGGAGGGAAAGAAGAGGGAGAAGCGGGGTTGAGAGGAGGGAAGGCGTGCATACCTGACAGTCCATAAGCACCACATCAAACGCCTCTCCACCGCTACTACTTGCTCTCGCCGCCCTGCCCATGCCCCTCTGCCCTACACGCGCTCCCCCTCCTCCTGCTGCTAAATCCGCCCCCCCACCACCACTCCCACCACTCCCATCCCACCCGCCTCTGCTCCTCGGCCGCCTACCCTCCCCATCCCCCTCCCCTCTCTCCCCCTCTCCACCTCCTCTCCCCGCTCCACCACTCGCAGCAGCAGCAGCAAGCCGGGCGTCTTCAGCAATCCAGCTGCTGGTAACCGCATCAACAGCCTGCTGCCCATCAGCCACCACCATCACCTCTGCTCCCAGCTTCTTCAGCAGAGACTCAGCCAGCTTCTGCAGAATAGCTGTGTCTTCCACCAGTAACACATGGTAACCGGCTAGAGGCTGTGACTTGTCGAGTTTTCCCGGAGCGCTGCTGCTGCTGCTGGCGGGGGTGGTGGTGCTTGCGGTGGCGGTAGGGGTGCTGGTGGTGGGTGTGGTGGTGGCACTTTCTGCTCCTCCTGCTCCTCCTCCTCCTCCCCCTCCTGCTGAAGGTGTTGTTGCAGTGGGTGTGAAGGAACCTGCTGGTGATGCTAAGGAAGATGCTGGTGTTTGCACCAGTGCCGATGCTGCAACTGCTGCTGCTGCTGCAGAGGATGAAGACTCGCCTTTCGTGCTACTCCTCCCCCCTCCCCCAAGACCCAGTAAGTCCTTTGCACTGCCCTTTCGACCGATACCAAACCTGCTCCTTCCACCACCCTCGTTCCCACCATCCTCCCCTCCGTCTTTACTCTCCCTCCCACTCCCCTTTCTCACCATACCCCTCCCACTGCTCCCACCGCTCCCACTGCTCCACCCTCTCTGACCGCCCTCCCCAGCCCCGTCCCTCGCATCCTTCCCACTGCCTTTCCGCGACATGCTCCTGCTGCTGCCGCTGCCGCTGCCGCTGCCGCTGCCGCTGCTGCTGCTTCCCAGGGACGAAAGAAGGGAAGCAATATCTTTGTGGCTGCCCTTGCGTGGAATCGAAGGGGGAATTGGGGACTTTTGGGTGTTATCCAAGGTAGGCGTGCCTGCTGGTGGGAAAGTGTCAGATTGCGGTGTGATGGGAGGCACGCTCGGGGATTTCTGAAGTGTGTCCGCCGCAGCAGCGGTGGTGGTGGTTGTGGTGGTGGGCGGGGAGTGTGGCTGTTTGGAAGGTTCCGGAGCACCGGCAGCTGCAGCAGAAGGAGGGGGAGTGTGCGAGGGAGGGGTGGGTGTGACGCTGGGATGGGTCCAGGAGGATCCAAGTTGGGGAGAGAGTGGGTCGGCGAACGTGGGGGAGGTGAGGGAGGGCGTGGGGGAGAGGATGAGCGCAGGGGGAGCTGGAGCAGAGCCTAGTGTGATAGACCGCTGGCTTCGTAGCCCCACTGCTGATCCCCCCCCTCCTTCCCCTCCTGCTCCTCCTCCTGTTGATGCTGCTGCTGTTGATGCAGCAACACCACCACCACTAGCACCAGCAGCAACAGCAGCAGCAGCAGTAGACGGTGCAGGTGATGCATCGTCAGCTGTGCTGCGTGTCCCAGGGTGAAAGGTAGCGGTACTGGCAGCAGAAAGCGCGTCAGAGATGGGGGAGAAGGAGGGCGAGGAGTTGTGGAGGGAGGAGAAGGAGAGGGAGGGGCAACTGAGGTGCACATGAGGAGGTGAAGCGTCGGAAGCACCATCAGCTGCAGCAGCAGCAGCAGCAGTAGGAGCAGCAGCACCAGCAGCAGTAGCGGAGAGGGAGGGACCAGAAACAGATGCTCCATCTGACCCTCCTGCTCCTGCCCCTCCTCCTGCTCCTCCTCCTGCTCCTCCTCCTGCTCTTCCTCCCCCTCCTCCTCCACCGCCTTCCCCTTGCCCCCTCCTGTTATCTGCCCCTCTTCCGCCCACCAGCCCACCCGCCCCACGACCACCCTTCCCTCCTCCTCTCCTTTCTCCTGCCCCTCCTCCTCCTACGCCTCCTCCTCCCCCATCACCACCTGCTGCGCCCCCCTCTCCCGCCCCCTCTGTAAGGGCCGACAGAGAAATCCCAGCAGGTAGAGAATGCATGGGGCGGAGGCCCCCCCCTCCCTTCCGAGACACGTGCAAGGGCGAGTGGTGCGCAGGCGCGGGGAGGGGCAGCAGTCGGTTGCGACCCATCCCCCCCATTCCGCTCCCCATCCCACCTATTCCCCCCATGCCCATGCCCCCTGCTCCAAGGCTCCCTGCTCCTCCAGACGTCCCTGCTCCTGATCCTGCTCCCCATCCCAACCCAAACGTCTGCTGCTGCTGAAGCAGCAGCTGCCGCTGGTAACCAGTACTGTTACCACTACCACCACCACCACCACCCATACCAGCACTCCCGTAAGTGACGGAAGTGAGTGGGTCTGGAGGTGCAAGGCCGTAGGCAGCAGCAGCACGCAGAGCTGCGGAGGACCCTGACTGGGGCCGGTCAGAGGAGTATTCCAACTGTCCCCCCATGCGCGGCATTTCTGAGCGAGACCGCTGCAGAGGAGGCAAATGGGATGGGCCTGTCATTCCCATGCCCATACCCATGCCCAAACCCATGCCCATACCCATGCCCATGCCTGCACCCATGCCAGTACCCATGCCCATGCCCATGCCTGTACCCATGCCTGTTCCTCCTCCCGTTCCCAGCCCTGCTCCCATCCCCGAGTTATAATTCCACCTGCCGCCTCCTGCAGTACCCATGCCAGCACCACCCATACCCGCAGGCACGGCAGCAGAAGCAGCAGCAGCAGGAGCACCGGTGAAACTTGCCCTAGTAGCAGCAGCAGACGGGGCACTACGGTTGACAGCCGAATGCCCCCACATGCCTGGCCCCAGTCCCACTGCCGCCCCACCAGATGAACCGTCAAACAGACTGCCCCCTCGCCCGCCACCGCCACCACCACCACCAGCGGCACCATTACCAGCACCTGCAGCGGCAACAGCAGCAGCAGCAGTGGTAGAATCTCCTGCGTGGCTGTCAGGTGGTGAGGCCAGCAATCTCTGAGTCAACACCGCGTCGAAGCTACTCCTCCGCCGATGCTGCCCTGCTCCCGCCCCCACCCCCATCCCCACCCCCTGCCCCCCTCGCCCTGCTCCTCCTCCCCCTGCTGTGGATCTCCTCCCACCTCTCCTCCCCCCCGCCCCAGCCCCTGCTGCACCCGCGCTTGCCACTGCGCCAACCCCTGCAGAGCCCCCAAACCCGCCAGCAGCAGCAGCAGCAGCAGCAGCAGCACCGGCGCTGCTAGCACCAGATACCCCAGAAGAGGACTGAACAGGAGACGTGATGAGAGAGCGAAACGCAGCAGGCCCAGAACCTTCCCTCCCCAGCAACCCCCCTGCTCCCCCTCCCCCTCCTCCCCCCCCGCCTCCTGCTGCTGCACCAAATGCACCCGTACCCCCAGTCCCCGGCCCAGGAACCCCCGGCAACCCCCGATTGATTATCGACTCCCACACACTCCCCAAGCTAGGCCGGTTAATGGATAGCCGCCCAGATAAGCTTCCCACTCCTGCTGCAGAGTTGGAGAAAGCTGATGGATCTATGTTGAAATCGAGGGGAGCGTGGGAGTTGGGGACGAGTCGGGTGAACGAGGTGACGTCAGAGAGAGATGAGGTGAGGGGTGGGCCTGCGGTGGAGGAGGAGGAGGAGGAGGAGGAGAAGATGTTGCTTATGCTGCTGCTTATGCCGTTGCTGGTGCCGTTATTGTTAAGGGTGATGGTATGGGCTGTGCCGGTGCTGGTCGCATTGTTGCTGCTGTTCACAATACCGCTGTTGTTGCCACCGTTGTTGTTGTTGTTGCTGCTGCTGCTGGCCCCGTCAACATCAAAGCCCATGCCGCCACCACCACCAGCCCCCTCAACGGAAGCCGACGAAACAAGCCGGACCAACGCCGTGTGCAAGTTGCGAAGGCGGGACGAGTGCAGCGGGCGAGAAGTCAGCACTGTATTCGGCTGCTGCTGCAGGAACCTCCGAATAACCGGGTTCACGCCAGGCGGCAACAGCCACACCACCAGCAGGTTCTGATTCGCCTTGCACCGCTTCCCTCGCAGCGTCTTCATCTCCTCACAGAGCTTTCCCATTTCTGGAGGCACCTGGCGCGGGTACTGCTGCTGCTGCTGCTGCTGCCCCCCACCTGCCCCTTCTGCTCCTGCTCCCCTCCCACCGCCAGCAGCACTGGCACCACCAGAACCGCCAGCAGCAGCAGCACCCCCACCAGAAGCACCACCATAGCCCCCCCCACCTCCCCCCACTGGCCTCCCCCACTCATCCTCCATATAGCCCTCCTCAAATCCATCAAAATTACCCCCAAACGAAGGTATGAGCGCAGGCATACCTGCAGAGGAAGCACCCACAGCCAGGGGATCTAAACCACTCGTATCCGCTGGTGCTGTGCATAGGTGCTTCCCAGACGGCAACAGCATTAGGTCTACCACCACTGCTATACAAGACACTTCCACCACCACTGCACCCGCCGCCGCTGCTGCTGCTGCTGGTCCGGCTGTGCCTGTGGCTCCTGCGGCTGTTCCTGTGGCTGCTGCTGCAGCAGCTGCAGCCGCCATGCGGGCGGATAGTATCCCCCCGCCTGTGCTGCCGCTGCTGCTGCTCTTTTTCATCACTGGCTCCGGTTTAGCAGACAGGAAGGAAGAGAAAACACCTCTCGCACCCCCCCCTCCTCCTCCTGCTCCTCCTCCTCCTCCAGCTGATGCCAAACGGCCACCTGCAACCCCTCCGCCGTCCCCTCCCCCACCCCCAACTCCACCACCAGCAGCAGAAGCAGCACCAGCAGCAACAGCGGAGCGCGAAACCATCTCAAGGTTGCCACTCCGAGTACGGTACTTCATAGACAAGCCGCCGCCGGTCCCGTTCCCGCCCACATCACCCCCACTCCCACCACCACTGCCACCGCCACCACCAGCAGAACTAGCACTCCCACCACTGCGACCCCCGGAGGCAGCAGCAGCAGAGGAGAGGCCAGCAAAGCGCGCCGATACCATCCCTGTTGTGGCCTCCCTCGCACTCCCCCCCGACAGCTCCTCTAGCGGAACTGCATCGTTTGCGTCTGGGACAGTCACAGAGAGAGGGGAGAGCGAGCGCAGCGCTCGAACCCCTGCCACGCGCGCACCTGTACTACCACCGCCGCTGCCACCGCCGCCGCTGCTGTCAGCAGGGGTGGAAGCCGGAGAGAGGGAGTTGGGGGAGTAGCCAGAGAGGGCAGAGAGCCCCTCTGAGCCGATGTGTATGGATTTGGATCGAGGCACTGCAGACGGCCAGAAGCTCTCCAGCCCTCCCAGTCTGCCCCTCCCCCCGCTACTGCCACTCCTGCCGCCGTCGCCGGCACCGCCGCCGGTGCTGCTGCTGTTGCTGAGTCTCTGCTCCTCCCCTGCTGCTTCTAACTCGACTGCAGCAGCTGCTGCAGCAGCGGCAGCAGAGGCAGCAGAGGCGGCGGCGGTGGCAGCAGCAGCAGCGGCAACAGCAGCCGGGGAGGTGACAAGCTCAGGACTGCTGTGGGAGAGAGACATGCCCACATGAGACGCCTGCAGCAGGGCTTGTGCCCCTGCCAGCCGTGCTGCTGCTGATGGTCCACTCACACCCGTTCCTGCCACACCACCACCACCACCACCCCTTGTCATCCCTCCGCCCACCCCTGTCCCAGCCCCTACACCCACCACTCCTACCGCTCCCCCTCCTCCTCCCCCTGCTCGTCCTGCTCGGTCTGCCGAGACGGTGCGAATGGCAGCAGGAGCGGAGTCGGTACTACTGCTACTGAGCCCCGGACCAGCCATGTGGGGAGAGGCTGAGCGGAAAGCAGCAGTGGCAGCAGGAGAGAACGCAAGAGCAGCAGAAGCAGCACCCGTGGCAGTACCAGTAGCAGAGGAAATTGCAGCGCCGACAGAAGCAGCACCTCGCGGGGTGGCAGTGCGAGACTGAACGGCACTAGCACTGGCGGAAGGGGCACCACTCGCAGTCCCACGCCCACCCGCCCCACCCTGCCCCGACCGGGTGCTCCCAGTCCCAGATGCAACAGACGGCATGGCGGACGCATGCAGGACATAGCTCAGGCTGGGGAAGATACTATCCCACGACCGCACCTGCTTCACTGCTAGGCCCTGCCCTTCGAACCAGCGCGACGCTACGGCTTTCCCCGGGCATTCCGACATGGCTAGGAGCACATGCCACTTCATTCTCACTCCGCCTCCTTGCCCCGCTCCTCCCCCCCCTGCTCCTCCGATTCCACCGGTCAAATCCTGCGTCCCGTCTAGTAGCGAACTGTGGGTTACTCTCTGAAGAGGCATGCTCAGCTGCTGCCCTGTTCCTCCTCCTCCTCCTCCTCCGCCTCCTCCTCCCACCCCTCCGGCTACTCCTATTCCTGACCCGGCTCGATTCAACCCGGTCCAAGCAGCACCCAGGTCGTTGCTACCCGGAGCAAGAGTGCCAGACATGCCCAGGAATGCGCGTAAACCGCTAAGTCCCGAAACGGCAGAGCTGCCTCCTATGGTGGAGGAGGAACGGCCTGGCCCACTGCCCCCCATACCGCCAGCACCCCAATCAGACGGACTCTCTGCCTCTCCCTCCTCCCCTCCCGCTCCTACTCCCCCTCCTCCTCCTCCTCCTACGCTGCTCTCCCCTCCAGTTGCCGCAGCAGCAGAGGCGGCACCGGTGCTGGTCAGCAGAGCGCCAGCAGGAGCAGCAGGAGGAGCAGAGGCAATAGCCTGCCCACCCCCCTCTAGGCCTGATGTGACACTGGCTGAGTCCGTGTCTTGTATCAACGGAATGCCCGAGCCATACCTGGGATAGTAGCAGAGGGAGGAGGGGGAAGGGGGGAGGAGAGAGAGATGAGTACAGGTGATGGTTCCGGAAGGGAGTGGTTGGTAGGGAGGAGAGGAGGGGGGGGGGGGGCGCGAAAGGGTGTGGAGAGAAAGAGAGAGAAACGGATGGCTATAGCAGGGGAGGTATTGGGAGGGGTACGAGAGGTGGTGAGGGGACGGGGAGGGGAAGGTGATGGGGAGGGAGGGTGAAAGAAGAGAGATAAACGCAGGGAACGGAATAGACAAGAACGACGATAACAAGAGTGAATGGCGCTGACCCTCCCTTCTCTTTCCCCTTTCCCCGCCTCCCTCCCCTTTCCCATCCCTCTTCCCCTTCGACTTCCCTTCTCCCCCCGTCCCCCTTCCATTTCCCTCTTTCCTCTTTCTCCCCCCACCTCCCCTCCCCCTTCCCCTCCCCCTCCCCTTCCCCTTCCCCCCACGCACCTAACAGGCCCCCCAAGCCCAGGCAGAGGCAGCTGCAGCAGCGGAGGGGGGGGCGGGGGGGGCGGCGGAATCTTCAACCTAATATGGAACCGCATCAGCGTCCCCTGCTCGTCCTTATCCCCCACCGCAATACCCCCTCCCATCAGCTCCACCAACCCCCGCACAATATACAGCCCCAGCCCGGACCCTCCGTGCGTGCGTGTGGACGATGCATCAACCTGAACAAAGCTGCCAAATACCTGCTCGCGCTTGTCTACCGGAATCCCACACCCTGTATCGTCTACCTCGAATACCAACACCACCTCTTCCTCCTCCACCTCCCCTGCGCCGCCTCCAGCCCCCGGCCCCATCCCTCCACCTTCCAGCTTAAACCCACTCACTGACCCAGCCATACTCCTCCTCCTCCCGCCGCCGCCCCGCGCCCCACCGCTCCCAACCCCTCCCATTGCCCCCCAGGGACGCCCACTAGACGAGACCTGCAGGCTAGACCAGCTATACCCTATCCCAGACTCAGTACGTCTGCTGGTGAGAGGGCCGGCGAGGGCGGACATGGGGACGAGCGGAGGGCCGTTGAGCATGCTTGGAGTGGTGGAGATGGAGGGGCGGAGGAAGGTGCTGGAGTGGTGTGTGCGGGGGGCTGCGGCGGCTGCAGCAGAGGAGGCGGCTGAGTGGTGGTTGCCAGGGAGAGAGGCTGTGGTGGAGGAGGAGTGGGTGGTGGTGAAGGGGAGGGCAGATCCTAGCCCGAAGAACGTCAGAGGGTCCTCCGCTAGGGGCTGGGGGGAAGAAAAAGGGAGTGGGCGGAGAGGGAAGAGTGGGGGGAGTAGGGGGGGGGTTGGGAGGGAGTGAAGGAAAAGAGAGAGTGGAGGTTTGGAGTGAGAGGGAGGAGATAAGGTGGATGGATCAGGAGTCTCTCACTGTCTTTCTCACTCGCCCCCTCTCTGTCTCTCTCGCACAGCACTCATTAGTCAGCAGACAATCACACGGTAACGCACATGTGCCAGGAACCTACTTGTTCCCCACCCACGCATACTCCAATCTCAGCTTTGAGTCGACACTCGGAACGCACCTGCTTGCTCTCCACCCACGCGCGCACCACAATGTGCCCCTTGACTGTAAATTTCACCGAATTCGCCAGCAGGTTCGTGAGCACCTGCCGGAACCGCCCTGCATCGCCTATCACCACCAGGGGGAAGTCGTCTGGGGCAGGCGGACAGAGAGGGGAAATGGGGAATGCAGGGGGGAGGTGGGGAGGCGAACGCCGGGGGGGGGGAAGGGGGTGGGGGGGAGAGATGTGGGGCGAGGGGTACGTGAGGGTTGTAAGAGGGTTGGTTGTCAAGGGGGGACTTTTGAGGCGCCTCAAGAGGCCTACGTGAGGGATGTGAGAGGGTTGGTTGTCAAGGGGGGGAGAGGAGAGGACCTCCCACCAGGGGAGAGTTGTTTGGGGGGAGGCGAGGGGGAGATGGGTGGGGATCAAAACGTCGAAACAAACTCGATAAGTGCTCTGGTACGCACAGGAGCCGTCTAGAGCAATGTCCATGTCATGTGGGGATGCATACAGTGCAGTGCAGCACCCACCAGCACCAGCGCAGCATCTCTAGAGCCGTCACATCAGACACGTTGAGGAGAACTCCAAAGGCGCTTTGAAGAGCAACACAGCGCAGCAGTGCACAACAGCGCAGCAGCGCACCGGAGACGTCTAGGGCGATGTCGATGTCGTGGGGGATGCAGGCAGTGCACTGAGAAGAGATCCACGAGCACCTCTCTACACATGTGTCAAGTCAACAACCATTCTCTAGGGCACTTTAAAGAATTGACACGGCACGCACCGGAGACGTCGAGAGCGATGTCGATGTCGTGGGGGATGCAGTGCACTGAGAAGAGATCCACGAGCGCCTCTAGCTCCTCCAGGATGTGGAACGGCGCCACTGCCAGCTCCAACACGCCCGACTCCACCTGATGGAGAGAGAGAGAGAGAAGCGGAGGGGTGAGGGGGGTTGTGGGCGCGGGGTGAGGTGAGGGTTGGATCAGGCGTGTCGTGTGCCATGGTAACGAGGTGACTTTTGAGTCGACTCAAAAGTCACCTCGCAGGGTGAGGTGAGGGTTGGGTCAGGCGTGCAGTCCACACCACGAGCGCCTCTAGCTCCTCCAGCACATGGAATGGCGCCACTGCCAGCTCCAACACGCCCGACTCCACCTAATGACGCCACGAAAGAAAACGTTTGGGAGCAGGCCCAAGGGAGAAAGGGGGAGGAGGGGGTGTGCAGTTAGAGGCGCCTCGAGAACAGGAACACTTGAAAACAGGCACGAGGAGGGCTGGGCGGTTGGTGGGGGCGGTGTGGCAGCAGGGTGAGGTTTGGGTAAGGTGTGCAGTGCAGTGCAGTGCAGTGCAGTGCATGAGCATCTCTAGCTCCTCCAGATGTGGAACGGCGCCACTGCCAGCTCTCCAACACCCCCGACTCCATCTGGGCGAGAGAGACGGCACCGAGAAATAAAACATTCAGGAACAGGCCTGAGGAAGCGGGGAGAGGGGAGAGGGGTGCGTTGGAGGGGGGCGCTTTGAAGGTAGAAACGCTTGTAAGCAGGCGAGGAGGGATGTGGGAGGGGAGGGTGGTGGGTGGCGGCAGTGTGGGCACCGGGTGGGGGATGGGTCACTGCTTTAGTCAAAGTCACAGGCGGTTCCAGCAGCACACCAGGCGCTGTGATTTCCCCCCCCCCCCCCTTCTCTCTCACTCCCCCCTCTCTCTGCTTGTGCTCGTCCAGCACTCTTCCCACCCGTCCCATTCCTCTCAGAGTCTCACTCACATGGCTGATGTCCAGCACAGCACGTTGTTGACGAGCGCCAGCAGCCCCCCCGCGCAGAGATTTCTGAGGCTCCTCCCTCCCCCAACACGCCCACCCTCCCCAGATCTCCTCCTCCCCTTCCCCCTGCTCACTCACATGGCTGATGTCCAGCACGTTGTTGACGAGCGCCAGCAGCCCCCCCGCGCAGCGGCGGATCTGAGCCACCATGACCTCCTGCTCCTCCGAGAGAGCCTCGCATGATAGCAGGTCCAAGAGCCCGATGATGCCCGCTATGGGCGTGCGCAGCTCGTGACTGGGGGGGAGGGGAAAGGGGGGGGGAAGGGGGAGAAGGGGGTGCGGGAATGGGGTTAAAGAGGGAGGTGGTGTTGGGGAGAAGGGTGGCAAGACATATTCAACCGTAGGGTGCTCTGCTGGGGCCTGGCAGCTCCTCCGGCAGGGATTCACTTCACACGACAGGGAGAAAGCCAGACCTGCCAGGCCAGGCAGAGCAGCCTACAGTTGAATCTTTTTTTGAGAGTTAAAAAAAAAACAGGAGACTCAGCCTGCAATGGGCGTGTGCAGCTCGATCACGCCTGTGGGGGTTGGTGTGGTGTGGGTTGGACAAGAGGTGTGGGAAGCGGGAGGGGGAGATGTGGTTGAAAAGGTAAGAAGAACGAATGGGCACATGAGGAGTGGTGCACCGTGCAGGGGAGGAACAAAGCAGGGAACGACGCCAGCTGCTGACAGTGGCAACAGGGTCCACTTACTCGTGGGGAACTTTCATCTTGCTAATTTTTTACTCAAGGAGAACTTTCATCTCGGAGCTCTGGTGTCTAATATTCTCACTGGCTACCACTCGACCCCTCAACCTCTCTCCACCCCTCTCGTCCCGTCCCTCCTCCACCTTTCTTGACTTGCTCCCCTTAAAAAACCAGCCCCTCCTGCCTTCCCTCCCCTTTCTCCTCTCTCCCCTCTCCTCCCCTCCCTACCCTCCTGTTGTCGCTGCTCAACAGTAACTGGGAGCACGAATAGACTACATAACATCGTGAGAGTAACGCACCTCATGTTGGCCAGGAACTGGCTCTTGAAGTTGCTTGACTTCTCCGCTTGGTCTTTGGCTGTTAGTTGCCGAATCAGCTCCTGCCGAGGGGATGGGAGGAATGGGGGAGGGAGAAAGGGAGAAGCGTGGGGGAGGATGGTGGGGGAGAGGGATTTTGGCACACACACGGCACACCACCGCATACTACTGCATAGTACCGCAGTGCACAGACTCCCTCCCAGCGCACTCACCTGCTTGAGTTCCCACTCGATGTTCATGCGCGAGGTCATCTTGAGAATGAGCAGACAACCCGCGAGCAGCAGCCCCAGCGACAATGACCACACTGCATAGCAACACGCTGCACCGCACTGAACCACACTGCAACTCACAGCACAACACAGACTCCCACAGCGCCTCACCTGCTTGAGTTCCCACTCGACGTTGATGCGCGAGGTCATCTTGAGAATGAGCAGACAACCCGCGAGCAGCAGCCCCAGCGACATGCCAAAGCACGACCACACCGTCACCGTGCTGCCCATCTCTATAGCCCCCATGATGCTGCTGCGCGGTATCACTGCCACCACCACCTGTTATGAGCAAATTGAGGTGCGGGAGTGGGCAGTGGGAAGGAGGGCACGATGTGCGGGACCAACTTGGTCTCTATCTATTGCCCACACGATGTTGCTGCGGGGAATTACCGCCACCACCACCTGCAGCAGAGATGGGGAGAGAGCATGGTGCGTGCAGTGGGGCTATTTAGGAGTGAGCTTGGGCCCAATGATGCTGCTGCTGCGTGGAATTACCGCCACCACCACTTGCCAAGGAAAGGCGCGGAGTGGGGGTGAGTGGTGGGGTTGAGGGCAGAATGCTTGGGAGGTACTTGGTCTGACTTGACGTGACGCAATGATGCTGCTGCTGCGTGGAATTACCGCCACCACCACTTGCCCAAGGACAGAGAGAGCAGTGGGGCGTGCAGTGGGGGGGCTTTTGAGGAGCAACTGGACCTCTATTGCGCTGCGTGGGATCACCGCCGCCAACCAACACCTGTCAAGGGGAAGGTGTGAGGAGCGGGGAGTCACTGCAGTGGGTGGATGCAAGGCAAGGCCTTCAGGCGCAAGCTTGGTGTGTCTTGTCTTGCTGCCAAGCCAGGGTGCTGCTGCGCTGGGAGGTGCCACTGACTCTCATCCATCCACATAGCACACGCTCCCATTCACGTATGCTCATGCCGCCACAGTAAAGCCTGTTCCCCCTTTTCCCGCTTTTCACTCCCCGCTCCCCCTCTCCCCCTTTCCCACATACCCCCAGTTCACCCTTCCGCCTTCCTCCCCCCTCTTTCCCCTTCCTCCCTTCCCTCACCCTGCCCCCCTTCGCTTTCTCATCCCCTCACCAGCTGAAGGTCATCAAAGAGCGGCGAGGAAAGAGGACAGCTGTCAACATAGTACTGGCTGTCGGATGCCTCGGGATTGCCGCTGACGCGGTCCGAGAACGTGCACGCGCGCAGCAGGTCCTGCATGGAGAAGGAAGCTTCCAGGAAGCGCGCGGCCATGGCGAGGAGAGCGTTGTTGGAGAGAGTGGGGGCGGTGTAGAGGGTGCTGTTGGTGGCCGAGGAGGCAATCACTCGTGCGTCGCTGCCGTTGAACCTGAGAGGGAGAAGGGGGGTTGGGGAGGGGTTGGGGGATGCACATGGGTGGGTGGGCTGGTGAGGAGGGTATTGTTGGTTGGCAGGAGAGGAAAGGAGGCGATGGTAAACCAACATAGTGCAGCACTCTCCTCCTTCTCCCGCCCCCTCCCCCCAGATCCCGCCCGCTCGCCCTTAGCACTGTAACAGAACACAGAAGAGCACTCACTGACCACACAACACAAAAGGGAATTCAAAATCCACTCACCACACAACATAGAGCAGCCCATTGAGCAGATCCAGCTGCTCAATAAACCGATGAACCCCCTCCAGAGGCTGAGCCACACCCGCTATCCCCGCATACCCCAGCGAACCCGCCCCAGGTGTCACCTCCCCCTCTCCGCCCTGCCCTGTCTCCCCCCCCTGGCGCAGCACTCCCCCTATGGGGGCGGCGGCCCCCGGGGGAGGCGAGGTGGGGGAGATGGGGGCGAGCAGCAGGGTGCTGGGAGCGACAGTGGCGAAAGCAAATATCATGGGCGGGGTGTCATTGGTTACTTGCGCCACGGCCCACTCCACCTGGGAGAGGGGAGAGAGGGATGAGGGAGAAGACAAGTGAGTGGACTCTAAAGGCAGCAGGGTGCTGGGCGCGACGGTGGCAAAGGCAAAGATCATGGGCGGGGTATCGTCCGTTACTTGCGCCACTGCCCACTCCACTTGGGAGAAGGGGGGAAGGGAGGGAAGGGGGTCGGGTAGGGGGAGACTTTTGAGAAGGGGTTGGGAGGAGAAGACAGGTGCTTTTACCTCACCTTTTGGAGTGTGGTGCAGGGGTTTGAATCTGGGGTGGGCGAGGAGGCGGAGGGGTCATGTGCATGTCCATGCGTGCATGTGTGTGTTTGCATGTGCGTGTGCGCATGTGTGTGTGAACGAGTGCATGCATGCATGTACCAGTGCGTGCGTGTGAATGCAAGATGGAGAACGTGTGAGAGGGTGTGCAAGCAAGCAGGGAGAGTCTCAGTCTCACCTGGTGAGCGGGAGGGGGTGAGAGTGGCCACACGTCCGTGACCGCAGTGCCGTTCAGACTGTGCGTGGTGTTGCTCAGAGACAGCGCTGTTGGGCCAATCACAGGCTGACAAGTGGCACCGGGGGCGGGGTGAAACAAGCAGAGCAGAGGAGCAGAGGCAGAGGTAGGGGCACGGAGAGGGCAGTTTTGAGACGTCTCAAAACAGGTGCAGCGAAGAGGAAGAGGCAGCATCCGGGAATTTCAACAGAAGCAAGAATCATAGCTTGCTCAATGGGCTTAGCTTGGTGTAGCGTGCAAACAGAGATGTTCTGAGACATCTCAAATCATCATAGGGCTTAGCTTTGTGTGGCTGCACAAGTAGACGCTGCAATGCAAATATAGAGCAACAGCTGTGTGCCTGGGAGATAAACTGCACACAGAAAAGGAGAGGGGAGAGGGAGGAGCAAGAGCGAGAGCGAGAGCGAGAGAGCGAGAGCGAGAGCGAGAGCTAGAGCGAGAGCGAGAGCGAGAGCTAGAGCGAGAGCGAGAGCGAGAGCAAAAGAGCAAGATCAAGAGCAACAAGAGCAGCATGCGCTCCGCCTTGGTTTTGATTCACACCCGTGACGTGAATTTTCCACCACCCGCATCCCCCACTTCACTCCCTCCCAGCATCTCCCAGCACCTCCCTGCACCCCCCACCTGCCTGCACCTGCACCCCAACCTTCCCCCACCCCCTACCTAGGAGGCGAAGTTCTGTGCCTTGGTGAGTGAGACGTGTTCATGGGGGTGGCTGCTGTAAATGCAACCCCCACATCCCTGCAACACCCTTTCCCCAGGTCCCCCCAGCACCCACCTTTCCCAGGTCCCCCCAGCGCCCACCTTTCCCAGGTCCCCCCAGCGCCCACCTTTCCCAGGTCCCCCCAGCACCCACCTTTCCCAGGTCCCCCCAGCGCCCACCTTTCCCAGGTCCCCCCAGCACCCACCTTTCCCAGGTCCCCCCAGCGCCCACCTTTCCCAGGCCCCTGCACCCCGCACATCCCTGCATCCCTCCACACCGCACCCCCCCTCTTCCCACCCCCTACCTGCGAGGTGAAGTTCTGAGCCTTGGTGAGCGAGACGTGCTCATGGGGGTGGGAGCTGTAGATGCAGAAGCGCTGCTGGGAGGTGGAGGCGTAGCTCATGAAGAGCCCGTTCACCGACCCAAAGAACACCGATGACACCCGCGCCTCGTTCGACGCGTACACCGCCCACGTCATCTCCCGCACCTGCGATGCAGAGGGGTGGAAAGCGGTGGAAAGGGGGTTAGAGGGATCACGCAGCGGCTCACACATCTGCCACATCATCTCTTGCACTTGCGAAAAGGGGTGGGGAGGGGTGGAGACGTGTGCGTGGGGGTGGGAGCTGTAGATGCAGAAGCGCTGCTGGGAGGTGGAGGCGTAGCTCATGAAGAGCCCGTTCACCGACCCAAAGAACACCGACGACACCCGCGCCTCGTTTGATGCGTACACCGCCCACGACATCTCCCGCACCTGGCATGGAGAGCGGTGGAGAGGGGTGGGGAGGGGTGGAGAGGAGTGGAGAGGAGCGGAGGGGGGTTTGGAGGGCTTTTTAACACTGGGGGTGGAGGGGGGAGTGGGGGAGAAGCGTATGGGGAGAAAGCGACCATGATATGGGTGGCATGGCATGCGCTGCAGGTAATGCTTCTCCCACCCACCACAATGCCTCACCGAGCCTTTTCGAGCCACCTCACATCCCCACAGAGCCCTCAACCCCCGCCCATGATGCCCATCCCCCCCCCCTGCTCCTCACCGTAGTGTTGACTAGGCTCCATTCAATGTCCACATGCCCCTCGTGCGCCGTGCCATGCGCCTTCTCCTGCGCCTCCAAGCCAGCCTGCAGCACGGCAGCGTACGTGAGCGACACGTTGCGAGTGCCCTCCACGATGCTTCCCACGCGCTCCTGCGTGCGCATCAGCAGCTGCTTGCGGTAGTTCATCGTCAGCGTCTGGGGGGGGGGAGGGGGGGGAAGGGAGGGGGGGGGGGGGGGGAGGGGAGGAGGGGAGGAAGGAAAAGGGGGGTTGGGGGGTTTTCAGAATTCTTGGTGGCAGTTCGTGAGGCCTTCTGGTGGTTACTCTAAGCTCCTGCGTGTGCATCAGCAGCTGCTTGCGGTAGTTCATCGTCAGCGTCTGGAGAAGGGGGGAGCAGCAGGGAGGGAGGAACGGAAGGGAGCAAAGGCTTTTGTGAATGCTCAGTAGCAGTTTCCGAGGCCTTTTGACTCGCTCTCTAGCACACACTCACTTGCCTCTCCCTCTCTACTTTTCTCTCTCACACACACACGCACAAAACCGCACCTGTACTGAGTTATTGTAGTAGGAGCTTGTGAGGAGCCATGTGAAGAAGGTGAGGAGGAAGATGATCACTGCCACTAGCAACTGCATGCATGCACGCATGCAGACATGCAGGCATGCAGACATGCAGGCATGCGGACATGCAGGCATGCACACGTGCAGGCATGCAGACATGCAGGCATGCACACGTGCAGGCATGCAGACATGCAGGCATGCACACATGCAGGCATGCACACATGCAGGCATGCACACATGCAGGCATGCACACGTGCAGGCATGCAGACATGCAGGCATGCACACGTGCAGGCATGCAGACATGCATGCAGGCATGCACACATGCACACATACAGACATGCAGGCATGCACACATGCAGACATGCACACATGCAAACATGCAGGCATGCACACATGCAGACATGCACACATGCAGCACCCATGCACGGGTGCAACCATGCACCCAGGCACACCCATGTCCAGAGGGAAGCAGACAGAGGGAAGCAGAAGGAGCAAGGGGGAGGGAGAAACGGAGGAATGGAAGGGGGAAGGAAGGCCGGGGAGGGAACACATGTTGGAGTGTTAAGGGTGTCACATCCACCACTGTCACATGCAGCTTGTGCCTTCCAATAATGCAAGTCGGGGAGAAAAGGCAACCTCCCGGTATCATGATACCTCTCCCAGGCATTCAATCCGCTTTTTTTCCCCTTTCATTTTCCCCTCCAACCCCCACCCCGTCCTACCCAGAAAAACAGCCAACGCCGCTCCCCCGTCCCCCTTCCGCCCAACCCTTTCCTTCCCCCCTCCCCCGCACCATGGCTGCTAGGCGGTACACGAGGATGGGGTTGCGCACGCGCGGGCAGGGGCACCACGACGGCCAGAACCACGGCCCGGGCATCTCCCCCGCGCCCTCCTCCCATTCCCCCTCCCCCTCCGCCACACTCCCCTCCGCGCCCACCCCCTGCGACCCCTGCAGCTGGCTCGATAGGTCCACTAACACGTCATCTAGCGCGGATCGTTTCCCGCCCTTGCCCGCGCTGCTTCCGCGCCCGTACCCCTGCGCGCGCCCTCCGGCTTCCCCCTGCTGCGGGTAGTGCTGCGCGTGGGCGGAGCGGCGGCGGTAGGGGTTGCTGTAGTTGTCCGTCTGCGCCCACCATGCGCTGGGGGAAGCGGCGGAAACAGCGGTCGGAACGGGAAAAGGGTGCGGCAGTGGGGGAGTGTGGGGGGAGTTTTGAGTCGACTGGGCGGAAAAGCCAGGCGGAACACAGCAGGCGGAACGGTAAAAAGGTGGAGCCGGAGGGGAGCATAGGGGGAAGGCAAGATGGCGGAAAAGAGTGAAGGCGAGACTTGCGGGGAGCAGACATAGGGCAGCCGAATCGGCTTCTCATGCATGGGACGCATGAGATTCATGAGAATCATAAGGTTCATTCATGGGATGCATGGGATGCATGGGTCAGAAACGGGAAACGCTGCCGAAAAACGCAATCCTAAACGGGGGGAACGCAAGGAAAAGGTGTGTGATTGAGTCGACTCGGGTTACGCAATTGGGAGCGGACGTGACGCGAGGTAAAGCATCGACCCTAACGCTAGGGCGGGCTACTCGGTAACCCCCATGTCAAAAAGTCTCCTTTTCAGCGTTAACGTATTCGTGTGATCTTGTGTGTTTACGTCACGGGTTGCACCTGGTGGAGGCTCGACTGTAAGAGACAGCGGACTGCGCCACGCTGCCTTCCGCTATCGACAACTCCTCATCCGAATACGTCCGGTCTGAGTAGTACTCGCTATTGTCGCCCTCGCTACCGGCATCGTCGCGCCTCCGCCTTCTGCCCGTCACCAACCGCCGCGCTCCCGAAACTAGTGTCTTCCACGCGGCTGCACTGCGCCAGCCGGTTCCGGGTTTCCAGCCGCGACGGTCGCCGTGATCGCCGCCGTGATCGTCGCCGTGATCGCTGGCGTAAGAGTCGCTATAGGGCCCCCGGCTCGCGTCATCGATCATGTCATCTACGCTGACGTCACCGTCCATGGCAGTCACGCCTCCTTTAGGACCGTCCTAATGGGCTTACATATTAAGTTATGGAGCAATGCACTAACGCGGCTTGAACGCCCATCCGTCGCAAATCGTGTTGGTGTTTGAAGGCCCACTGACCTAAACCGGACTGAAAAAGTAATCACTAGACCTTATAACGAACTAAAAAGTGTGTGGTTTGACAGGTGACCACCACCAACCAAAACAGCACGAAGCTAACTTCTATTGGCTTGAAAATCCCAACTTCGGTGCGGTCCTACGGTGCGTGTGAGCAAATAAGAAATCAGGCAGGAATCACTGTAGGCTGCCAGTCAGAACTGTGGTTGGGCAGAGGGAAGGGTTTTTGTCCTGTCTGTTCTGCCAAATAGTTGTTACAGCACGTATCATCACTGCTGTTCATGAGGGAAGGTCAGTTCTGTGAAAAGACGGTTGCAAGTGAAAATCTGTTGTTCCCAGCACAATATGTTCCAACGTCACGGAAAACAACGGACGTAATCTGTGGAGGAACAACGGATGTTTGAATTCGGGCAGCTGAGATTGAAATCCATCAACAGACAGGTACTGTAATCAAGCGGGATCGCACTGTGCTGCTCCTCCCCGTGTAACTGCTGGTGGAGCGATTCGAGTTGGAGGGGGACATGTGTGGCCGACGGAAGGCATCTTCGCAATAGCGTAACCAAGGCAGGGCCGAAGCAGATACCGAGACGTACTGGGAGTTTAGGCCGTGTTACATTTTTCGAAGTCGCTGAAAGTCCGGACGGCTGTCCGGACACGTGCGAAGATTGCGACGTTGCACGGTCGCGTCGCGACCAATGCGATGTCGTTAGGATGCAATAGGAAGAAGGCGACGTCGTTTTGACCCTGACGAACTCAGGGCTGAGAATTAACGAGTTTCGTAACCACCAATCGTCCGGACGACAAAAAATGAAGGATGTAGCACCCATATGCGTGTGTGTCAACGCAACCCGTCAAGGTGTCGCAACTTCGGATGGTGTCCCTGCGTAGGAATCCGCCCTCGGTCGGAGCTGGGGCGGGGACGCCACTAGCGTCCTCGATATGAGGGGTTATCCGCTTCAGTGCTAAGATTCCCTCCTTTGTATATATTATATCCTAAAAAACCCCTGCTTTCAATCTAATGGTTTGTTTGACGTCTCTATGGGCTAATTAACCTATTATGAATATAAAAAGGGATATTGTTCTTGAAAATGTTGTTTTTTCAAAGAGGGGTGAAGTTAATAGCGACTGAACATGTTAAACCACTTTGTTGGCGTTTTTTTTTAACTGTACGTGTTGTCGAAGCCCTTGTAAGTGACCATCCGCATTCACTTCCAACTAGATATCCTAGACCCAATTTTCCTAACTCATTTTATGTGCCGCCTTGCTCTTCTGGGCACATCGCACTGAACCTTACCCCGTCTTTCAGCATGGCGACTTCTTTTCTCGCTCCTCCGCTCTCCTCGTTCTCCATACCGAATCCGTGGACGTCGGCGGAGCACAGCCCTCGTTCCCCTCCTACCGCCATTATCCACCGTCCATTGAAACCCACAATCAATCCCTTCTTTCACTCAAATCCCTTTCGAGTCAACCACCATCATTCCTCCTTCCGACCTCTCCTCCCCTTCCGCGCATCTTCCGTTCCTCCGCAATCCGACCCTCCTAAACCGCAACCACCAGCGCAACCCGCATCCATCATCCCCCAGAAACCGCCTTCCCCGACCCCCTCCCAACCACCCCTGCCGGTGTCGCCAACGTCGGTGGTTACATGGGGCGGCCGGTTACCATCCACGCGACGGCTCGTGCTGGGATCGTTAGGGTTTGCTGGTTTAGCGCTGGGGTCGAATTTCCTTGGCTCCACGAGTGCTCTCTTGGGAACAGTAGAGGACCCTGCGCGGTCAGCGCGCCTGGATGTTCTGTTCCCTATCAAGGGTTACAAGCGGTGCTATGACACGGTGAATGGTTTTGGTGAGTTCTGTGCGGTGGGGGGCGGTGCGGTCGAGCGTAGGCGGAGAAAACGACTATTGGGGGGGAATCTATATAGTTGAGTGTTTGGGAACGTCCAGTTGACAGATGCAGAGTGTGTGGACATTCAGAGTGTGTGGACATTCAGAGTGTGTGGACATTCAGAGTGTGTGGACATTCAGAGTGTGTGGACATTCAGAGTGTGTGGACATTCAGAGTGTGTGGACATTCAGAGTGTGTGGACATTCAGAGTGTGTGGACATTCAGAGTGTGTGGACATTCAGAGTGTGTGGACATTCAGAGTGTGTGGACATTCAGAGTGTGTGGACATTCAGAGTGTGTGGACATTCAGAGTGTGTGGACATTCAGAGTGTGTGGACATTCAGAGTGTGTGGACATTCAGAGTGTGTGGACATTCAGAGTGTGTGGACATTCAGAGTGTGTGGACATTCAGAGTGTGTGGACATTCAGAGTGTGTGGACATTACTCAAAGCACGCACTCCTCTTGAGTAAGTCCCCCAAAGGAGTCGGACGTGTGCCAGCATGGTAGTGAGCGTTTGCTGCAGCAGGTAACAATGTAACGTGCTGCATAGTGAGCCGTTCCTCTCAAATTAAGACCCTCAATCAGATTTCGCACCCTTGCATTGCATACAAATCCACTCCCATGTCTACGTGCACTGTCTGTCCAACCCCGACTCGCCTCCTCACTCCCAGTCTCCTACACCGTACCTCCCCCCCACTCCCCTCTCTGCCTTCATCCCACCCTGCCTCCACCCAGAATTCCTCTTTCCAGCCGAATGGGTGGGGGACCAGACATTGCTATACCGAGCAGCGGAGCGCAGAGAAAGAGAACTCTCGCTGGACCCACCTCCCCTCGCCTCCCCTTCCTCCTCCTCCTCCTCCGCCTCCTCGCAACAAGCACGCAGAGCAGGTGCAGTTGATCCTGTGGCGGCCTTTGGCCCGCCGGGGGGAAACGGGGAGCTCAATGTGAGCGTCGTTGTTGCTCCTGTGCCACGAGGCTTCAGGTGAGTCTGCCGGTGGGGTTTGCATGTATGACTGCAGGCTCAGTTGGTGCTGAGTTGTATTTGCATAGCATGGTTTCGTGAGGAATACCGGTATGAGGAAGCGTTGGCTCTCATTTCTGCTGCTCCTCATGCCGTGTGTCTCCTTGCGTCTCCTTGTTTCGCCTCTGCAGCCTTAGGAGCTTCGGAGACGCAGAGAGCATCGGTGGCAGGCTGTTGGCTAACGTCATTGCACCTGCTGGGTCTGGAAGGGAGGCCATGCTGCTAAATGCAAGCGAGAAGGAGCTGGATGGCGTGCTGTACATAAGACTGGAGTACACTGTACAAGGCGCTTCATTCTCCCGTCACAATGTTTCCGTTTGTGCGGTGAAACGCGGAAAGCTTTTCTCCATGAATGCACAGTCACCTGCGGATATGTGGCCTGAGAACTTGGAATCTTTTTCTGTCGTTGCTCATTCATTCAGGGTTCTGGGTGACAATGTGTAAGCAGGGGCACTGAGACTGAGTGTTGACCTGGAGCAGGTCTGAATCTTGAGGTCGCAGTACCACATCTTCGTTCTAATCGAAAACCGCGCAATATTTATTACAAGTACCTTAGTGTGCACCATGATGCTGATTTAGAGGTGTGTTCGTACCGTAACAACCTTAGGAAGCAAAGAATCCCTGAGTCACTGGAGAACCCAAAACTGCATCAGGGTTGATCGTGTTTGCAGCGGATCTGAGATTAATGGCACACACCTGTCGGAGTGAATGTAAAACGACGAGTGACTATATGAAACGGCTTATTTACGATTATGCATTGTTACGAATAGCAATACTTGAATATTACTGTGCACTCCTCACCGCAGCAAAGAGAAGCACGCAGTATCGCGAATGAACGCGAAGCTTCAGACGGTTGGAACGCATCTCAACCGTCGGAGCAGACAGCATCAGGCAGCTGCAGAGAGGATGGTTTCGGCGGGAACAGTTTCGTAACTGTTCGAGCCGCACAGCTGGGGATGTATTTGAATAGGGAAATGTACCCCTTAGAGTACATGGCTAGTCTAGGTCTTTTCGCATTCTTATGTACTCTTATATAAACTCGATGTATGCATGTCTTAAACATCTCAAGCATTTACGGTACATTCACCCTGCTATTGAGGTCAAGGGCCCACCAACACCACTTCTCTGCGTGCGAACCTTCCTGAGTAGATCTTAGGCCACGATCAACTTTTGATCGCAGCATGGTATGAGAGCGACTCAGAAATCCTTCGCACCGCCATCTCCGAAGTCTGCGACATTCGAAAAATGGCGTCCGGCACACGATCACGTGTAAGAATGGCCGGAGGATCTGGAGGTCAGACAAATCTGACGGCTGAAGCGCAGCCCAACCCGGCTGCGACAAACGAGGAAACGACGACAATTCCCTCCGCCATCCTCGCACAACTGCTTCAGCGACTCACAAGCTTGGAGCAAGGGCTCCAGACATTACGGAATGGCGATGCGGGAACGTCTTCCCAACCCACTCAACCGGCCCCCTACGGCCAAAACTCCGCCCCGCTCGGCTTCTCCCTAGATACGAACGGCTCAACCCCCAAGACTTCCTGTCCCAGCGATGAAGCAATTCTCTCCGCGCAATCAAGGTTTTTTAGCATATCAAAAATAAAGACAGGTGTGTGCTTTGACAGCAGAAACTTTTACACCTGGAGCTTCGAGCTGGAGCTGCTGCTGCAAAACGCGCAGATTTATCATTACTTCGACGGAAGCTACTCAGGACCTGCTGAGGACACCGACAACGCAAGGACTCGCTATTATAACGAGTCCCTGATGGCGTACGTGTCAGAACATTATAGCTCATGCATATTGTGTAGGCTATAGTGGGGTAGCCCATAAGGGGTACAACCCAATTAGGGTTAGTACTTGTACCCAATTCATTTATAGTTCATTAATTCTCGTTTCAATTCTCTCATGGTATCGAGCAGGCTCCCTCGTGGGAACTGTTCCTAGGGCCCACCGATTCGACTTTTTTTTCCTGCCCGGAGCGCGCTCAGCCCTAGCCCGAGTCGCGCTCCCCCTTTTTTTCTCGCCCCGTCGCGCCGCCCTAGCGGCCCTGTCGCATGCCTTGCGGCCCTCGCGCCGCCCTTCCTGGCCCCGATCCGCCGCCCTGCGGCCTCGTCGCCCACCCCGCGGCCCTCGCGCCGCCCTGCGGCCCTGACGCCGCCCTTACCGGCGCCTACCTGCTGGCCCCGCCACCTACCTGCGCCCCCGCCACCTACCAGCGGCCCCGCCACCTACCCGCGGCCCCGCCACCTACCTGTGCGGCCCCGCCACCTACCTGTGCGACCCCGCCACCTACCTGCTGGCCCCGCCACCTACCTGCAAGCCCCGCCACTTACCTGCGGCCCCGCCACCTACAAGCGGCTCCGCCACCTGCCTGCGGCCCCGCCACCTACCCGCGGCCCCGCCACCTACCTGTGCGGCCCCGGCGCCTACCTGCGGCCCTGCCACCTACCTGCGGCCCCGCCACCTACCTGCGGCCCCGCCACCTATCAGCGGCCCCGCCACCTACCTGCGGCCCCGCCACCTACCTTTGCGGCCCCGCCGCCTCCTCTCAGCGGCCCCGCCGCCTCCTCCCTGCGGCCCCGAACGCCGCCCTCTCAGCGGCCCCGCCGAGCCGCCCAGCAGCCGAGCCGCCCAGCAGCCGAGCCGCCCAACCACCGAGCCGCCCAGCAGCCGAGCAGCCGAGCCGCTCAGCAGCCGAGCTGCCGAGCCGCCCTGTCCGGTAAGAGCAGCGCCTTCTTCACAGCACTGCCCTCACCCTACTGTTTGCGCTGCTAGTCTACTGCTGTCATGGCTACCCCTAGTGTCCTCGCTTTTGACGCTGAGGGTCGGGCCATTGACTTTGACGTCTGGATAGATGACCTGCAGCTTTTCTTACAGTGCGATAGGGCAGACGGCCTCTCCCTCTTTGACCTCACTTCTGGTGCCTCTCCTGCCCCCGCTGCTGATGCTGATGCCACTGTTCGCTCACAGTGGGCCACGCGCGATGCTGCTGCACGTCTTGCTGTGCGTCGCCACCTCCCTACCTCTGAGCGTGCGCACTTTAGCCAGTACAAGAGTGCTCAGACCTTGTACGACGCTGTAGTTGCACGCTACTCCTCCCCTGCCACTGCTGCACTGAGCCGCCTCATGCTACCGTACCTCTTCCCTGACCTTGCTGCCTTTCCCACAGTCGCTGACCTCATTATGCACCTCCGCACTAGTGACACTCGCTACCGCGCTGCGCTTCCTGCTGACTTCTGCGCCAAGAACCCCCCCCCCCATGTACATCACCCTCTACTACATACTCACCCGTCTCCTTGACTCCCTTCGCGTAGTCAGGGACCACTTCCTCTCAGTTTGCCCCACCACTCTCACCGTTGACCTCCTCGAGAAGGCCCTCCTAGCAGCAGAAAAGAGCATAGTAGCTGTAGGAGCCTCTCGTGGTGACCCTCGCACCCCCATCTTTGAGGGGTGTTCCCCCTCCCCTCTTTTGCCCTTTGTTGCCTCTGCTGCTACGGCTGACCTCGTTGGTCTGGAGTCGGTTGGTGCGGTGTTTACCCCTAGTGGGAAGCGTCGCTCTAGCAAGGGCAAGGGGGGCAGGGGCGCTGGAGGAGCTAGCGGGAGCGGTGGAGGCGGCGGTGGAGGCAGTGGAGGGGGTGGGGGTGGTGGTGGGAGTGGTGGCGGGGGTGGAGGTGTCGGCGGCGGCAGTGGAGGCAGAGGTGGCGGCGGCGGTGGCGGTGGGAGCGGAGGTGGTGGAGGTGGCGGAGGTGGAGAAGGCGGTGGCGGAGGCGGAGGAGGAGGAGGTCGTGGCTCTTCGCAGAGGAGTGGCTCCGGTGGTGGTCAGCGCCAGCAGCAGCAGCGCAGTCGGGAGACCCTCTCCCCTCAGCAGCTCCGTGAGTGGTACGCTGCACGCCAGCGGGGTGGGGGTACTGGTCCGTGCACCTACGTCCTGCGCACCGGCCACCGTGCGGGTGAGCAGTGTGGGGGTGCGCACCCCACCCAGCGCTGCTTTGGCCGCCTGACGGATGCTTGGCGTCACCAGTTCCCTGAGGCCACTGAGATCCCTCGCTGGGGCGAGCTGTCTAGGGTAGGGGTAGCCATCTTTGACCTTGACTTTGATGCTATTCTTGCTGCTATGTATACTATGTCTATTAGTGAGGAGGGTGACTGTTACAAGTGTTTCCCGCCCGACCCGGGCATTGAGACTGCTGCTCTAGGTGCTGGTGAGGCTGCTGCTCTTGGTGCTAGCGAGGCTGCTGCTCTAGGTGCTAGTGCGTCTGCTTCCTCCAGTACTGGTGAGTCTGCGCTCGCAGGTACTTCGTCGGCTTCGGCCTCCCACACCTTCACACTTGACTCGGGGGCTTCTCGCTCCTTCTTTCGAGACCACACCACACTCACGCCGCTTTGTCGGCCAGTTGCAGTCTCTCTGGCAGACCCCTCTGGGGGTCCTGTCCTTGCTCACTTCTCCACTATCCTCCCGTGTCCAGCGGCCCTCTCTAGCACCCTGTCTTGTCTTTACCTCCCCTCGTTCTCTACGAACTTGGTGAGTGGTGCTGACCTACAGGATGCGGGGATTCACCAGTTCACTCCTGCGAGTCACCGGGTGACCCACTGCACGGACGCTCGGACAGGCCGACACCTGGCCACGTTTACACGTCGGCCGGGGTTGAGCCTGTACACACTGACCACTGCGTCTCCTCCAGTCCCTGCGTCTGGTCAGGTAGCTGCGTCCGGTCAAGTGTTAGCTGCAGCGTCCAGGTCTGGTCCTGAGTCTGCCCCCTGCTCGTGTCGCCTCCTGTCTCACGAGACTCTCCTCTGGCACCACCGCCTTGGTCATCCCTCCCAGCTTCGTCTCTGAAGCATGGCCTCCCGTGTCCTTGTCTCTGGTCTTCCCCGGTCCCTCCCTCCACTTCCTCCGGGGCCTGGCCCTACCTGCATCCCCTGTGTGAAGGGGCGGCAACGGGCTACCCCTCTTTCCTCCCAGTTTTCTCCGACAGAGGCCCTGCTGCAGACGCTTCACATGGACGTGTGGGGCCCAGCCCGTGTCCGTGGACAGGGTCACGGGCGCTACTTCCTGCTGGTGGTTGACGACTACTCGCGTTACACCACAGTCTTCCCCTTGTGCAGCAAGGGTGCTGTCACTGAGGTGTTGATCGACTGGATCCGCGCAGCTCGTCTCCAGCTCAGGCGGAGCTTCGGCTCGGACTTTCCTGTTCTGCGTCTGCACTCTGACAGAGGCGGAGAGTTCTCCTCTTGCCTTCTGCGAGCCTACTGTCGTGCACGAGGCATCCGTCAGACCTTCACGCTTCCGGACTCTCCACAGCAAAATGGGATTACTGAGCGCCGCATTGGCATGGTCATGGACGTCGCCCGTACGTCCATGATGCATGCGGCTGCCCCCCATTTTCTGTGGCCGTTTGCGGTTCGGTACGCGGCGCATCAGATCAACCTTCACCCCAGGGTCT